CCGCGTCTCAAACCGTGCGAGTGACCCATGTCGGCGGTGTTGGTGGTGCTGGAGTTAGAAACTTGTCGACAACGAAGAAGTGCCTCAAAGTCTCGGCCGCCTTTGCAAAGGTGCGGACTTGCTCGGGTGCTTAGTGCGCGGTCACCTGCCCACCCAGGGTGTAGCCCTCACGCTAAACCACATCCGGGTCCACTTTTCCGCTCGCTCGCTTAGTTCCCGCTCTCCAAAAGAACATCTTCGGCTTCATCGTTGCATTTTCCGTTGAAGACCCGTGCAATCGACAAACTCGCGACAACGCGCAATCTGCAGCAGTCATGGCCCCGTGAGTAAATTGATGGCTGTGAATTTTGTCGGTCGCGTTATTCTAACCAGGATTTTTTCTACGACAGGCGCGTTTACTCCAAGACCTACAAGGTCCCCCGTCGTCGTAAGTACAGCCCACGAGAAAGAATGACTTCGCGAGGCGATAGCAAATGCTAACTTTTCCCCAGCGTTCGAGTCGGCTCGTCTGTTAGTACTCTCCGGCCACTAATCAGAAGCGTGCTTCTGGTTATGTCGTGTGTTTCCGTCCCTAATCATGTGATTCTAGTGACTCGGAACTGAAGGTTGTCGGCGAGTACGGCCTGCGCAACAAGCGTGAGGTGTGGCGTGTCCAGCTCACTCTGTCCAAGATTCGTCGTGCTGCTCGGTATGTGTTTCTTTTTTTTCGCGGGAGTTGATGAAGTGGGGAAATGGCTAACCAGTTGCTTCAATAGTGAGCTGCTCACTCTCGACGAGAAGGACCCCAAGCGTCTGTTCGAAGGTAACGCTTTGATTCGCCGTCTGGTCCGCATCGGTGTGCTCGATGAGACCCGCATGAAGCTCGATTACGTCCTGGCCCTCAACGTTGAGGATTTCCTGGAGCGTCGTCTGCAGACCTGCGTCTACAAGCTTGGCCTCGCCAAGTCCATCCACCACGCTCGTGTCCTGATCAAGCAGCGTCACATCCGGTATGGCGACTCTTTCTCCCAGTAGAGGAAGTACTTTGGCTGATTCATTTGTTACAGTGTCGGTAAGCAGATCGTCAACGTGCCTTCTTTCATGGTCCGCCTGGACTCCCAGAAGCACATCGACTTCTCCCTCACCTCGCCCTTCGGTGGTGGCCGCCCCGGCCGTGTCCAGCGCAAGAAGCTCAAGGCCGCCCAGTCCGGTGGTGGTGACGACGCTGAGGAGGAGGAGGAATAGATTATTCAAAAAGGCGTACAGCGGGGTTTCGCAATGGAATATCAAAATTCGGGGGCTTCATTGCGACTGCAGCATAGCGTTCAACGTTGTACGATCATGCATCTCAATGAATGAATACCATTTGTCCTTGCGGCTCTCCTTCGGATCCTCCATCTTAATTCATTTATACCCCACAACGCACGCTAAGCAGATTAAACGTCAAATTGTATATGCCCATGATCTTCATATTGTACGGAGTAGCCAGTAGCCACCCCACCCCGCCCTATATACAGAATCGAACTTGCATGAACCAGAACCCACTCCGAAACGCCAATTCCTAGCTAGTGTCGTAAATCATCCGCGTAAATTCCACCCTGGGAATTGGTAGGTGTGGCTAGCCCTCCACATCCACGAGCCTTTTCAACACCTCTTCGGCACTCCTGTACCACCTCCCCATTTCTTCAAGCCCGTCACTCTCGCCCTCTTCCTTCCTCCGTCTAGCCTCCCGGGCCTGCGTAATCGCCTCCATCTTCCGTTTCTCCAGCACCGCCAACTCCCGCTCCATCGTCTCCGCCTCCCGCGTCTTCCGCGGCAGGGTATTCTGCACCGCCGCGAGCTGGCGATTGAGCGCCGCCAGCTCGGCCTCTCTCTCCGACAGTAGTGACAGCGTCGCCGGGAGAGACATTTTCTGGGACGATGACCCGTCCATATCAGACATCTGTTTCGCACGTAGTCCAGCGATCGTGGCATCGAGGCTCTCGATCGACTCGGGGAGGGTAGACAGCTTGGTCATCTGCAATTGAACGTTGTTATAGCCTGTATTTTTTTTTTTTCAATGTTAGCTTTCGTCCTTCCACATACCCTTTTTTTCTGTCTGTCCCATCCGCGCATAGCGCTCACGCTACAAACGCACGGCAACCAAATCGCGAGGGGACGCAAGAACAGCAAACTCACGAGCCGCAAGATCCCTCCCCGTCTTGTCCATTTCTGCCACCATCGCGCGAACCTCCTCTTTGCGCGCCCGTAACTCGGCCTTCACCTCCGCCAACTGTGCCTCCAGCTCCACGTTCTCATTGTGTCCGACGACAAGGGGCGGGTCACCGACGATTGCGCGGAGGAATTTCTCTTTCGTAACCTGTTCGACGTAGGAGAAGCGTAGTTTCGAGAATAGTTCCTTCACAACTTGTTAGTTGCTTGGCTGGATCACAACGTGAAGAAGGTCGCACCTTGTAGTGAGTCAGATCCGCTTCGAGCGAGGCCGGGGACGGATTATCGAGAGTCGAGGCATCTGAGATCCGCTTGGAGGGCGATAGGCCTGGGTTTTCGGCGTCTGGGGAGAAGATAGGTTCGCTGACGCGGACTATGGAGAGATGGGTGCGTAGGTCGCCATTTTCTTGCTGTAATTGCTGGAGTTGCTGTAATGTGTCTGCGGGGTCGGTCATGCTTTCTCGGGGGTGGGTTTGTTGTGAGGCGGGTTCTTGTTGGGGGTTGTTTGTTGTCGTTCGCTTCGGCGCAAGTAGTGTATGCCGAAAGTATATTCAAGTCGGTAAAACGGTAAGTAGTCGGGGTGGATGGGTCTGGCGCGTTGATAGAAGATGCGATGTCGAGTAAACAAAAGATTGAACGCACGGGGCAACCAAATCGAACTGCCGAGTCGGCAAGGCGGGCGGTGAAGAGGACTGTAGTACTATAACAATCTGAGTGTATTTCCATCGACTTCATAGTACTTTATGAGATTCTTCTTGATGGATTCTATAGTACTGAAATAGTTGGTCAATCAAGGAATTGGGCTGAAGGTCTTCTATTTGGACTGTGGTTTGGACCATTCATTGACTCTTGACCTGCTCCATGAACCTTATGCTAGTATTTTGAAGACAGACACTAACAAACGGAGTACTTATGCCTCCCACTTTTTGCATAATTTTGAGATGTCTACATGTCCAAGACTGATAATGCTTTATTACTAGGTGGGAATTTGTCTTCAAACAAATGGTGACGGCGTAATATTGTAGAAAACCATACACCTTCATGTAGTGTGATTTGTATAGACCGATATATATTTGTGTCAGCCCCCAGAAACTCTAGCCACGACCTCGGTATATCTCCAGCCCAGCAAAAACGACTAAAATACATTGTAATTTGGAAAACGAATTAAAGTAAGCACCATTGTCAAAAGACGAACGTTGCCAATGAACTATTGCCTAACAATCATGTCAAGGAACTCAGCGCAACGTCTACTGAGTACTAGAACTAGACAGCCAGCCCGACCTGATCGGCACCTACGTAGCCGAAACCAGCACCCAAAAGGGCAAGAGTATAACCATCGAAAGCAAAATCGACAGGTACAATCCGACATAAGTACACTCGTTCTTTGAACCAGACACCACGAGGGCCAGAAGAAATGCTGCGGCAATTCTGAACCTTAGTCGCTGCAGGGTCTTCCTGCCGGGACATACATAAGTCGGGTCATCTCCACTCATCTGAGCAATAGTTCATCCTGTCAATTCCATCACCCCACAGCCACAATGGGCCCTGTTCACGACACCCCGAGGGAGAGCTCGGAAAGCATTGATCAGGAACGGGAGCTTCGGCTTAGCTTGAAGGGTACCTGCGTCTGGCATTTTACCTACTAAATTAGTACAAGTGCTCCGTACATACGGGCGTTATGGCGGATCCCATCAGGTCACTACCTTTTTTGGACAGTAGTAATATTAGCAGAGCTAGGTGGTCTCTGTGTTGGTAGGACAGGTGTTGGTGTGAACCATCTTACCGATGTTTTTTATTTTGTTTATTTTCGCTTGTATATGTATATATTTTTTTAGAAACTCATTCTGACAAGCATGGCCAAGATCAATCCAACTCAAACGAACCCATTGTAGAAACCATCTGACAGGAATCGAAGGTCCAAATAGGATCAACGAACCGGAAGTGAACGGCCGTACCGATTAAGATGAATGGATCCCAAACCATGCAAGCGAGTTCAATCTGCCCGGCTAAGGACTGAACAGTTTGATTGCGCGCCAATGAGACCAGCGGAATGTGGTTACCGTATCGATACAACCATCGAGGAAAAAGGGGGAAACCAACCGACCTCGGGGTCCCTGGATTTTGTTACCGCCTGCATGAAAGTCTTACCACAATGCTTTCCAAGGCTTCAAAAAGAGGAAGTGATGCATGTTAGAGAAAATGTATTGAAATTGAACCCCTCGTGGGTCGAATGGCGGGAATGATCGAGGAATGACGATTAGGACCGTCGATAATGCATGCCATATGCACAATATGAATCTAGTGAATCGGGATTCGGAGAGTAAAAAAAACAAGCCCCACGTGTGTTGTATGTGGCATGTATAATTGCATACTATGCAGTTCGGATCACCGCTTGATCCATGATGGAAGGAAGAAACATAGGTATTGATTGGTATTGGCTCCGGAGTACGGAGTAGATACTGTTGTAAGTTGCTTGGATGCGGACCCTCTTTTTTTATTTTTTATTTTGTTTGTTATTTTCCCCTCGAGGATGTTTTATGCGCAGTGCCCTTATTGATTCTGCCCACGCCTGATGAAATGCAGAGATTGCAGAGAGATTCATGTCGCGGCACAGATTTAATTAATAAATTTGCGGCATGTGTAGATTTTGTTTCCGCCCGCAGTCCTTGATTAGTTCGGACCTCACGATTCAATGAGGTGGGAGGAGGTATTCTGGGTCCATCCATGCTGGGAATCAGTCGATGCAGTCATAGCTAGGACGGTTTGACAATGACCCATCGGCAAGTTGGCTTCCCTCTTGAGGTCGCACCCGCAAACTCAAGCAGCAAATCAACGCGCCGCATCTGCTTGTGCATGAGGGAAGGAAAAGCTGAATCGGCCTCAGCCCGCCCACTCAGAAGCCGAGAATGCAGGCATTGAGTCAAACCTAACCTAATACACTTAGAGTAGTTCCAAAGTGGGGGAGCCGTAGTCTGGAGGTCGAGCCCCCCTGCTTAGCTGCTTTCTGCGTTGCCCCTGAATCTTCTCCGGCTCTTAAGGTTCTCGAGCCTGCTCCGCCGTCGCAGACGAACAGCCGTTACTACTAAAAAAAAAACAGAAAAGAAATTAAAAGGGACATCAGCAAGCTCTGACACCCTCAAGTACGTGACTGGTCACGGGCACCGGCGGTTGATATACACGCAACCAGGCTTTTGCAAAGCGCATCAACGCAGGCGAATTGGATAGAGGCGCATCTTGATTCTGGTCTTTCTGGCCGATCATCATCAGTCTCGACGCCGTCTTACTTTCGTTTGACTTTTTTTCATTACCTTTTTTCCACTTCTCCCCCGACTTCGTTTCTTCCAGTCTCCTTTTTTACCCTTTTGCTTCTCCATCTCGCACGCCGCATCAGTCGGATCTTGTGAGCAGGCATTTTTCGCAATTTTAATCCGGGCTACGCCGCAGCCGGCGCACAAAGAAAACACTTGAGAAAAAGAGAGAAAAAAGAAACAAGAATTAAATAAACAAATAAAAAGAAAAGGAGACCCATTGCTGCACTGCATGCTGCAGCAACCTCGTTCTTTCTCACTCATTTCACCATCTTGACTCTTTCCTTCTTGCAAAGATACGCGACGGGTATTGACAAACGCTTGCTGGGCTTGTGATAGTCAGTTCTCTTCGACGTACGACACTTTTTTGGCTTGCGCCAGAACGTCATATCGACCCCTCGATTTGTCAAGCCACGCCGTCTGACGTCTTACAATCCGGGCCGACATATAATCTGATACTCCCGTCAGTCGCAGTTCCATAGGCGCGCAGAGAGGAACACGAAGGACCAAGCTGATTCGGAACTGCATATAGAATTAGCTAGGATTTATTCGAGTGTACTGGGAGGGAGCAGTCCGCTGTAAGTACCAACCATATATCGTTCGCGATAGACTCAATTGCCGCCTGTTTATATGCAGTTGACAATTAGTCTGTCCATCGCGATTGTTCCCTTGTTATCTCACTGACATTGTTTCGGACAGTTCGACAGGAAATCTTTGATCTATTGTTCTGATTGTTATAATCAGATTGAAGTACGCAAGAAGGTATTCCAGGACCTCGTGTTGTGTCAGAGATCTATATCTGAGACAATCGTGCATCGGGGGTCCCCACTTTTGTTTAATTTGCAACAGACCCTCATCTGTGACTGGCAATTGAGTGATTGGAAGGTGCTACCCTAGAGGAAAGTCCAGGGTAAAAAAGAAAAAGAAATAAGAAAAAGAACAGAAAAGGACAGGACAAAAAAAAAAAAAAAAAACCAGCTCAGCCCACCATGGCGACCGCATCATCTAGACCCCGGACTCCGAGTAACACTCAATCCCCCCCCGAAGGTCTTCCTGCCATCACGGAGAACGGCAGCAACCAATCCAAAGATCAACGCAGAACGTCGTCCCTCGGCTTTCTCCGTCGTGCTAAGTCTACTGAACCGTTATCTGGCAAGAGCAAGAAGATGTCCAAGGCCCAGGCATTGGAGGAGGAGCGTCGTCGGCGCGAAGCGATGCCAAAGCATGCACCTCGTCTTCCCGATCTCTCGCCCACCCCGATCCTGGAAACCTTTGGCGGGGATGAGCGTCATGATACTGTGGGTACTCTCGTCAGCGAACCTAATCCATCCCAGCACTTGGCGCCTCGCAGCTCCGTGAGTACACCAGTGAACAACGAATATGACCCATACGCTCGCACGGAGAGTATGACCCATCGTGGCCGCTACAGCTATGCCAGTAGTGCAGTGAGCACGGTGAACAACCCCCGCAGACTTCGCCGTCGCAGGGACCCTACCCCCTACAAGTAAGATTGTGCCAAAGCGCTGTCGTGGGAAGATATGAGCTGACGGATTCGTGTTTCTAATCATCTAGCATTCTTGTTGTCGGAGCTCGTAATTCTGGCAAGACGTCGTTCCTGAATTTTCTCCGGAAGTCGCTGGAGATGCCGGCTCACAAGCACCCTACGCGCGGCCCTGAAGAGGAGGAATACTACGATCGTCATGCCCCGGCCAACGAGGGTTTCATCTACCACTATCTAGAGACCGAAATCGATGGAGAGCGTGTGGGGCTGACGCTGTGGGACTCGGAAGGGTTCGAGCGGGACCTTGTGGACATCCAGCTGAGCGGGGTGACTGCGTTCCTGGAAAACAAGTTTGAAGAAACGCTGAAGGAAGAGATGAAGGTGATTCGTTCGCCTGGCGCTCGCGACACTCACATCCACTGTACTTTCTTGATCCTCGATCCGGTGCGGTTGGACGCGAATATCGCGGCTGCCGAGCGAGCTTCCCGGGGCAACCCCAAGGCATCCGATAAGCCGGTCACAGGAATCCTCGACCAGAGTCTCGATATTCAAATCTTGCGCAAGATGCTGGGCAAGACCACCATTGTTCCAGTGATTAGCAAAGCCGATACGATTACCGAGGCCCACATGACCTACCTGCGAAAGGCCGTTTGGGCTAGCCTGAAGGAAGCCAACATTGACCCTCTCGAGGTGCTCTCTTTGGATGAACAGGAAGAGTACACGTCTTCCGAGAGTGCCGACGAAGAAGAGGACGAGGAAACGGAGGATCAGAAAGAACATGCTCAAGGGGAGACGGCCGACAATGCGGACGACAAGGAAAGCAAGCCCGGCCCTACCCCCGGGTCGCCGTCCGGCCGAAGCGCAAGCAGCCGCAAGTCATCCGCATCCCAGGCTGCGGCGCAGCGTCTGCCATTTTCGACCCTTTCGCCTGATTCGTATTCCTTAAATGCCGGAGACGGGCCAGTTGGCCGCAAATTCCCTTGGGGCTTCGCGGACCCATACAATCCCGAGCACTGCGATTTCCTGAGGCTGCGAGATTCGGTGTTTAGCGACTGGCGATCGGAGCTCCGCGAAGCCAGCCGTGTCATCTGGTACGAGAGATGGCGGACCAGCCGCTTGAATCCCCACCTGCCCGCTCCGGCCCCGCAGAAAAAGCAGTACAGCGGAAGGATGGGTCCTTCGAACTACGCCTACTAGAAGGGTTCGGAATTCATCCCGTGTATTGGTGTCTTGATAGTTGAGTCTTTGGGCGTCTTGTATTCCCGACCCATGCGCACAGCAAGACGGCAGGGCCTCTTGTGCCTCTTGTGCCGTTTTTTTTCGTGTTTTTTCAATCTCTCAATGGGGAAAATTAGAGACGCACCAAAGGGCATGTGGCCTATGAAGACCCTAGCACTTTGATCTGGCACAGGAGGGACAGCTATTCTGCTGGAATGGTCCCCAGAAGTGTGGAGGGTTCTCTGTTGGGAACCGTCACATCTGTGTCTACCCACCAAGAATCACGCCGTTTTCCTTGGACCGGACTGCTGATTTCTGCTTTCAAAAGCCTTGTCCGCATATCTTCCTTCCATTCCCCCCCTTTTTCCCTATTTGATTCCTGCTTTTTTTCTGATTTGCGTGGCCGTTTGTTTACCTTCCTTATACCACTGTGTTCCTACTATGATATCATTTGATGTTTCGGTGTCACTATTGGGCCAGGGGCTGACCAGCTCCTGGGTACGATCTATTAGGCACCTTTTTCCTTTCTTCTCATTACCTTCACCCTGTCTATTATTTTTCTTTCTCCAGACCCCATTGTGTCATTTCTCCCTTTTTCTTTCGCCCACTTGTATTCTTGGTCATCAAATTTGTGTCCGAACCAGTTACCGATGTTGAAAGTTTTAAGATGAGCTATTTTGACCATTTTGATAGTTGTAGAGGTGCTATCGACGTAGCTTACCCAGTATTTCAATAAGCCGATCAATGAGATCGCTCTGATATCACCATAGTAATCCCACCACCGCTTACAACCCCACATTATGAGATCTTTCCCTGTCTTAATACTACTAGTCAATACCAACCTGGCACGAACCTAGGTAGGTACTACCCCAGGATGATAATTCCACAGACCAATGACGACAATCCTCCTGCATAGAGCTCCATGGAGCGCCCGGTGGGTATCCCCTTTGTAACCCGATCACACCCCACGAGCCCCACCAGGAGAAGGGACGGTGCTGGATCCCTATCCGTCCGTGCTCTGCAGGAGCCTGGCTAGTCGTCACCTGTTTTACAAGGACAGGTAGGTAACAAAGAAAGAAAAAAAAAAAGCAATAAAAAGGGGAATAACGGGTGAATACGACATCCAACAGATTAGTCCCGCAACGAAGGATTCGTAGTGCATGCCATATGGATAGGTAGGTACCCATGAAAAACGACAACGGCTACCTACCTGTCGAGCAAATACTAGGGCTGAAAGAGGCGGCGGATGGGGTCGGACATGAAGTCTCATGTCGGATTGGCTGTTGTGGGGGAGATGAGGGGCAGGCTTGCATGGTAAAGGCATATTTAGATGGGGAGCGATACGAGACTGGTTGCGCCATCATTCGCGAGGCTGAGTTGGGTGGGGAATCTTCGTTTCATTCTATTTTGATTTGGGTTTCTGTTGCGGCTCCTTCATGGCTGCTGTTTTGGCTGTGAGGAGGAAGTCTGATGCTGTGCGACACCGGGTTTGGAGGGGATTGGGGGGGTCGTTTGGGCTGTGTTTTGTTGATTACTGATGGAAAAACCCAGAGAAATGGAGAAGAAGAAGAAGAAGAAGAAGAAGAAAGAAGGATGAGACGCAGGTATCCCAGATGAAGAATGACTGAAGATTACCTTGGAATGCTGAATTGGTTATTGTTCGCGCCAGCTGACGATCTTCGAGCCACAGTCACGGACTCGCCGAAGCGCTCGTCTTCTTCCCCTCCACCATTACTCTTGTTTATCTTCCTTCTCTTTCCTTCTTCTCCACCTTCTAACTTCTTCTCTTTCTCTTCTACTCCTTCTCTCATATCTAGTTTTGAATTTTGGCGATCTCAAATATCAGTTTTGCGACTATACTATCCATCGCACTGGTGTCACTCCACCCTCCGCTAATCCCATACTATCCAGAGTTCGACGCGACCGTCACTGGTTGCTACAGGCTATCTATCTGATCGCAGTCGCTGTGGTTCCCCCGTGCCCGGACCATGTCACTCCAGGTTGGCGACCCACGGTCGCGTGGGCGTTCCAAATCTCCCGGCGGGCGGATCCGCGATCATTCCAGATCTCGCGATACCCGCCAACCGTCCGCGAATCCACGCACAAGCTCCCAGTACCTCACCTCCGATCCGCTCGATGATGACGGTTACCACAGCTCCCGGACGAGAGGGGCCAGTCCCGGCGCGAGTTATCGAACCAGCTCACGTTACAACCGACATGGTTCGGACTCGGATCACGAAGACCGATCGGAATATCTGCTGCGTCCTGAACGCAGCAGTCGCGATAAGGTCTATTTGTCGGATACGGGCGAGGGAAGGTCGGGCAAGCGCAGTAGCAGGACCTATGCGAAATCTCCCGCCCGTCAACCGGCTCGATACGACGTGGAATCGGATGATGATATTTTGGATTCCGAGGATGAGGCGCTGGCCTATGGGGACATGCCCGGCGCAACAGAGCGTGGGTTCTATGGGTCCGGGCGCTCGCCTCGATCATCGTCGTCTCGGGTGGATCCCGCGATGATGTCGGGTGCCCTCAAGGCGGAGGATTTCTACAAACAGCCAGCATCGCGCTCCGGCGATCCTCGTCCGGCTGAAGCTCCCGGCGCTCACCCCAGCTACGCGAGACCCGACCCGTTCAAATACGCCATGGACCCGTCGCAGTATCTCCACGGGCCGAGCGCTGTGAGTGCGGCGCCGGGGTATACTGGCGCTCCCGCGACAGCAGGCGTGCCATCAAACTGGGCGGCAATCCCCGACTGCGAGCGCCCGGGTTTCGTGCCCCCGTCTTCGCAGGGGGAGGGGCAGGCCATGCCGGGAGCATTCCCGCCCGCGACTACCAACTACCCCCAAGTGCCGGCGGCGCGCGCGTTTCCAACACCGCAGTATGCCAACCCGGAAGTGCACCAATATGCATCGTGGGCAACCAGCAATGCCTACGTACCTCCGGTCACCGCGCCGGCCCACCAGCGCCATGCATCCGGCAGTGCGACGGTTCAATACGCCGATCCTCCCCAGTTCCAGTATGCCAATATCGACCCCAATGTCAAGTATGCCTCGAAGAGCTCGTCCAATGTGCCTTCTACAGCAGCGCCACAATTTACGAACCTCCAGTCGGCGGACCCCAAGTATCAGGGCGTCCGGTACTCGGCGAACCCGCAGTTTTCCGCCGCACCGACGGGCCGTGCAGAGAGCAAACCGCAATTTATGGAGATCGCGCCCGGCGGACGTCCCGCCAGCGCCTCGTTCTCGTCTGGCAATAAGCTGTCGGTCGCAACCGCGGATCCGAACTTGCGACCGGCCAGTCCCATGCTGGAACCCTACAAGGGCACGTACCAGAGCATCTCACCGATGCCGTCCCCAATCGTCATGCCGGGCACATTCGACGAAGAGGTCTCGGATCTCGAGCCGCTGGACGGGCCCTCGGACGCGGATGCCGACGCGCGCAAAAAGCACGGGCGGAAGAAATCCAAAGACATCAAGGACAAAGACAGCAAGGGCCTCAAGGAGCCCAAGAGCTCCCGATCCAAGCGGGACAGCAGCCGCGTCCGGCACGAGCGGCACTCGTCCAACGGCCATCTCGCGGAATCGCTTGTGCTGATCTCTCCCAGCAGCGCGCGCAAACGCGTATCCTTCTACGATGCCAGCGCAGACGCGGCCGCTATGCAGGAAGCCCTGTCCGGGCGGACGGACCCAAAGGTCCTCATCCGTGTTCTGCCCCAGCTGACCGGCGACGAAATGCTCGATCTCCGCAAGGAGTACAAAAACTACGTCAAGCTGCACGGGAAAGGCGTCAACATCGCCAAGCATCTCCGAACAAAGCTAGGCCACAACGCCTTCAGCAAGGTATGCTACGCGACCGCGTTAGGGCCCTGGGAATCGGAAGCCTTCTGGGCCAACTGCTACTACCAGTCCAGCACGTCACGGCGCGAGCTGCTGATCGAATCCCTGTTCGGGCGGAGCAACAGCGAGATCATCGCGATCAAGGAGTGCTTCCGCGACACGCGGTACTCGAACAGCCTGGAGAAATGCATGAAGGCAGAACTCAAGGCAGACAAGTTCCGCCTCGCGGTGCTGCTGGCGCTCGAGGCGAAGCGCCAGGGCGAGCGCGACCCCATCAACCTCGATATGGTCCAGCGCGACGTCCACGATCTGCACCGCGCGCTGATGTCGCGCCACGGCGGCGAAACAGACATGATCAACATTATCGTGCCTTCCAGCGACGCCCACCTGCGCGAGGTGCTCCGCACCTACGAGAAGATCTACGAGCGGAACTTTGCGCGCGCCATGATTGCCAAGTCGCAAAACCTGGTGGTAAGTTCCTCCCCTTTTCCTTATCGCATCTCTCTTCCTCATCCACTAACACCCGAGAACCACTACAGGGCGAAACCCTAGCCCACATCCTCAACGGCGTCATCAACCGACCCATGCGCGACGCGCTTCTCCTCCACCAAGCACTGCGGGAGTCCCGCAGCGGCAAAGAGCGATCAGAGCTGCTCATCTCGCGACTGGTGCGGTACCACTGGGAGCCGCAACACCTGGAGCTCGTCAAGGTCGAGTTCCGGAAGCGGTACGGCGAGCGGTTGGAGGAGGCGATTGCGGAGGAGGTGCTGCCTACGAATGGAGGGAGCGAGTGGGGGGAGTTTTGTATTGAATTGGCGAGGAGTTCGAGGGGGTTGGCGAAGAGGGTGTGATTTATTTTATTTTGTTTATCTATATTTTTTTCTTTTTTGGGATGTATGGGTGGAGGGATGTGTTGGTTGAAGTCTTTAATGTTGAATGAACGAGTGAATGAATTATGGCTAGACGAAGCATTGATTTATTGAGCGAGTGTAAGGTAGGAGATAGCCTCGGAGGTAGCTACCAGGTTGGTATGGCGCACATATGTGGATGTTACATTGCAGAACCCATACGGTGTACACTCTACACCAATGGAGGACACGAATGAGCTGGCTGTACGACCGTTCAGACTACTTAGGTAGGTAGGTACCTACTGGGTACACAACGCTGTACAGCTGCTCAAAGAGCCAGCGTGGTCGGGGAGAGATTTTGTAATACTACTGTCAAGTCAATCCGGGGAGAAGTAGGTAGTGGGGACCGAGGGATAGGTTCGTATGAACCTATGCAATGCGGATTTGATATGCATTATACAGACAGGGCTAGGACGAGCTTGTGAGAGACGGGTGGTTGCATTGCTACTGAGGTGTATAGGTACATGCATACTACCTAGGTAGGAGGAAGGTTTGGTGTATTAACTATAAGATAATTTGGCCCTATTATTTGGCATAGTGAGAAATTAAACAAAATAGAATCAGATCGGTGAGATAGAGCGAGAAACATCAAGCGAACGAAAAGTTGGATAAAAAAGAAGGCGAAAAAAAAGACCAGTACTCGATGAGAGAATATAACCTACACTATGCCCAACTCAATATGGTCTGTCTCACAGTCTATGCAGACGCACATAACTAGTTCCCAATTGAACGCAGCGCGTACCACATATCATTGGAATAGAACACTGCTTCCTCCTATCTCTCCCTTCCTCTGTTCAGTATACCACTGTTTGGGGACGCAAGTTGAGTCAGGTCGTAATGGCCGCCAGAGTCTAGAACATACCAGCCGGTCTTGGGACATTCCTGCCAAACACGCTGCGATCGGCGACAACGTTTTTTTCTGTAGATGCCCCTTGCGGGAGATCTCGCCCAGACAGGAATGCTGAGATCCTTTTTTTTGTCTTATTCGTCTGTAGTAGACTTGACATGGGGTAGTGTGTGCTGGAGAATGGGCCAGATGGAATGTATTGTGGAGGGTCTGGACCTGGCCCAGGAGAGCTAGAGACTGTCGCGTGATGTGCATGATGGACGAGGCAAACAAATTGTGGATGGTATGTCTTGGATGGGATCGGCCTGATGTTGCACCAAAGTCCGGTGGGAAGGAAACCCCGAGAGACGCAAATGCCATTCGATGGGTCGGCTGGTACCTGCGTTCAGAGGGTGGAGCAGCAGAGGAATGTCCAGTCAGGGACATGATAGAGTGTATGATGGTCTGTCTTGATGTCTGATCATGGAAAAGACAAACAAATGCCTCTCTCTTTTTTGATCGAATAACCAGTTTATACTATTGATCTGATAGATGTGGGGCAGTGATTGAATCCATGGAATAAGGTTCGGGAAGAAGCCATTCTTCCTTGCGGTTCAGATTGGCTACCAGTAAAATAGTAACCATGGACCGAGATCGATGAAGTATATCCTGTCAGGTTTGTTGATTGTTGTTTGTGGGGAAGTGATGGTCGAGTATGAGGCCATATTACAGATGGGTTAAACTGAGAGTTAGATCGTGTAGATGAGAGTCATTGGCAGAGATGAAGCTCAAGAAGGCCAACTGTAGATAGTTGGCTGCACATGATCTGATCACCATCAAGTCACTTCTTCCATTTCTCTCCCCTCTTCCTCCTGCATATCCAAACATCGCAACTGCTGTGACTGGAACTAAACACATTGATTTCTTTCCCAGTGTCACCTTCCTATCTAGTTTGACATTGTCCTGAACTTTCTATTTAACTCTCAACTCCAAATGATTTGATTCATCATGCATCGTCTGCCACCAGTATATAAACCGCCCTTTCTGCACAGTCCCCCACGCCCTCGTCTATCCATCTCCTGCAGTCTTTCGTTGAACATACGCATGGTTGAAAATTTGGACTTATTTTTATTCCTACTCCAACATCCTTTCCTCCGTCCCCTCGCCTGTTGGAGATAGATCGGACTGGAGCACATTCTTCTTCACACCATACTAATTCCCCACCTGATCCCTAAACTCACGCTAGAGACGCAACGAGCAAACATCAATCAGCCCTACTCTGATACTACCCCAGATTTTCCCACGCCTGTTGGGCTGCAACTCGCCCATCGGGGCCCCGCTCGGAGGATCCTCGCCTGATCAGGTCGTCCTTGGCGTGTTGGATAAGAAGCGACTATACAGGACAACCTTTTACTCAAGCATTTCGCGGTACAGTTCCCCATACAACCCCTCTTCCCCTACCCAATACCTTTTTGGACATGTGCATGGCTCTAAATTGCATGTGGTTCTCTCCACACCGGACTTGTCGGAGACAGGGTTAAATAGGTCAGGCGATGCACTTGTTTGGTTATTTTGTTCGGGCCTGGTGGTCATGCTTCATATTGAATTGTCCGTTGAGACCATTGTGAAATCAACCCACTAAACCAAAGCAATGATTTATTAGATTCCTGCCAAGGTCCCTCGGTGCCCTTCTTCCGGTATGTGCGCTTATCTATAAAGCGCCGATGAGCACCCTAGTTGACATTCCAAGGTCCACATTCTTTCTGTCACTTTCGGCACTGGGCCGCCGAAAACAGAAGCGATCGCACGTTATTTAAAGGGACTGTGCTTGCTACCTGAGGATCATCATAATCTATAGCCATGTTCAAGATCATTCTCGCCTTTCTGGTCGCGTCGCTGATTTCGGCGGCCGACGCTGCCTCGGCCTTCAGCCCAGCCCGCCCCCCTGCTCTGCCACTGGCTGTGAAATCCCCATACGTGAGTACTTGGTTGTCGGCTGGCAGCGCGGGTGGCAATGGCGGTTACCTGGCCGGAGAATGGCCCACCTTCTGGGAGTGAGTCCATCTCGTCGGGTCGCTCCAACTGCTTGCTAACCATGTTTCCCACAACAGAGGCCAGGTCACCGGCTGGGCCGGCCTGATTCGTGTTGATGGCACTACGTACACGTGGATGGGCCTGCCTGGCAGCCTGACCGTGAATCAGACTGCCTTCGAGTACACCTCGACGAAGAGCATCTTTACCATGCACGTGGGAGATGCCGTGGAGATGAAAATCACCTTCCTGTCACCCATCACGCCCCAGGATTTGAGACGGCAATCGCTCAGCTTCAGCTACCTGCACGTGGATGTCGTTTCTCTTGACGGCAAAGCACATGATGTGCAACTGTACTCTGATATATCCGCCGGTAGGTGTTCCCCCACCGCGTCCATATATGGTAGTGAAGGTTGTCTGACCCGTCCAGAATGGGTCTCCGGGGACCGCAATACCGTCGCGCAGTGGGACTACGGCACCACGAAAAATGGGGTGGCGTACCATCGCGTTTGGCGCCAGACCCCTCTGCAGTTTTCCGAAAATCGGGAGCAGGGCGAATGGGGCGACTGGTACTGGGCCACCGATAGCTCCAATGAAATGACCTACCAATCTGGCATCGACGACGACGTCCGCGGTGCCTTTTCAAAGAACGGAAAATTGGCCAACGAGAAAGACCCCAATTTCCGCGCGATTTCGGACAAGTGGCCCGTATTCGGGTTTTCTCATGACCTCGGGTCGGTGCAGGACACAGTGAGCACGCTGTTTACCATCGGCCTGGCTCAGGAACATGCGATTCAATACAGCGGTGCTTCCAAGGATCCACATTCCCAGCCATCGTTATGGAAGAGCTACTTCAGCACTGGTGTGGATGCTGTGAGTATCGTCCCGATGGGGTTGTTGTTGTATGGGCCCCAATTAACGATCAATTTAGTTGAACTTTTTCCATCGTGATCATGACAGATCGAACCAACTATCTTCAGATCTGGACGAGGATGTTGCACGCGATTCAATTGCAGCGGGCGGCCAGGCCTATCTGACGATCACATCGCTGAGCATCCGTCAAGCTTTTGCTGCCACCCAATTGTGCGGAACGCCAGACAATACCTACATGTTCTTAAAGGAGATATCATCCAATGGCAACATGAACACGGTGGACGTCATATTCCCCGCACATCCCGTGTTCTTGTATACCAACCCAGAGCTGCTCAAGCTACTGCTGAAGCCTCTCTACGAGATCCAAGAAGGTGGAAACTACCCGAACGACTACGCCATGCACGACATTGGCAGCCATTACCCGAATGCCACCGGACATCCCGACGGCGCGGACGAGCCGATGCCGCTGGAGGAGTGTGGCAACATGATCATCATGGCTCTGGCCTATGCCAAGAAAGCCAACGATGCTCGTTACCTGGAGGAGCATTTCGATTTACTCCGACAGTGGACCGAGTACCTTGTCGCGGATTCCATCTATCCTGCTAACCAGATCTCCACCGATGATTTTGCAGGGCCCCTCGCGTAAGTTAATCCCGGCGAGAGCTGAAGAACCGAGGATAACCGTTGACTATTGCAGAAACCAAACCAACCTGGCCCTCAAGGGCATTATCGGAATTGAAGCCATGTCCGTCATCAGCGATTTGACGGGTCGGAGTCACGATTCCTCGAACCAGACTAGTATTGCCCACAACTATATCGACCGCTGGCAGGTTCTCGGCGTGGCCCAAGATGCGAATCCACCGCACACAACGTTGTCGTACGGAGTGAACGAATCTCACGGTATGTCCAATGATTATGGAGAGAATTTTCCCGCGCTAATATGTCTCCAGGTCTTCTATACAACTTGTATGCGGACCGGGAGTTGGACCTGAATTTGGTACCTCAATCGGTCTATGACATGCAGAGCGCTTTCTACCCCACAATCCAAGAGGAATTCGGAGTCCCGCTGGACACTCGGCATGTGTACACCAAAGGTGAGTGGGGCTTGAAATGCTTCCCATGGCAGACTACTAATAACACAGGTGACTGGGAGCTCTTTACGGCGGCCGTGGCGTCCGCAGAAACTCGGGACATGTTCCTCGAACACATGGCCCACTGGATTGATGTCACTTCGACCAACCACGCCCTGACCGACCTGTACGATACCAAGACTGGAGGGTCAGTTTAATCTTTACCTTTCTTCGCTGCATCAAACTAACAGATTAGGTATCCCCGAAACAAATTCATCGCGCGCCCGGTCATGGGTGGCGCTTTTGCGTTATTGATTCTTTAGTCGTGCGGAAGAGGAAAGCTTCGTTCACATCTTTAGGTGTTTTAGCCTCTCTATTATCTATATTTCATTGCTAGCTGCGGACTTGAGATTTATTATTACCTGGGCAGAGGGTGATTTCATTCTTACTGTGGTCTGTCTTATCTTGGCCGATGGCTGGATGACGATGTCCTGTGCGTAAATATTGGTACTCAATTGATGCATACATAGTATGTTATATTTATCTTGGTAGAGTCCAATGACTCCTGGACTCGAAATTGTGTAGATTGGTGTGATGATGAGTGCAGTTTTCAGGTTGCTGAGATGTTGGAATGTCGGGTCTAGCCCTGTAAACCGAAGCACGCCGATCATTTGGATAAAGGGTGCAGACTTCGAGTATCCATCACTTTTTGAGAGTGAGAACTGACCAAGGTAGAATTGACCATTAAAATAGTCATTGAAAAAGAACCCAATAGTTCCACTAAATATAAGCCCACTTATTCTCCATCCTGCGATGGGAAGTCACAACGTGAGGTAGAAGTCTAAAGGTTGATTAGTACATTAGTTTTAGGTACTCACCTCAGTTATTGTGGACTCTGGTGTTGGTTATGCTTCGTTTTTTCCCGGTTTTTATTTTTTATTTTGTTTTACATTTTGGAATTATTTTTAATGTATACTATATTTAGTAGATAGTGTGTTATAGTTGTTCATGTTGAAAATGATGGGCTTGATTAACTTGTTGTTTTGTTCTGGAGTGTGTTGGGGGTGATATGGGAGGATTAGTACATTGACACCACCTACCTACGTGTAGATACAGTTACTGTAGTTCGAGATTATTCAAGGACTCACTCGATGGTGGAGTTTGATTCGCTACTGTGGTAATTTTGATGCAAAGCTCTAATATATAGGCTCTATAGTAGGTAGGTAGGTATTAAGGGGGATATTGGATATTGTTTGAAGTAGTCAAGTCGTTTCTGTTCATTCCGTGCTGATGTAGTTTTCATATACTATCTAGATGCTACCTCGTTAAAGCTGTGATGTTATCCTATGTAATATTCGTCAGACGTGAATATCCTGATCATGCATAGTCCGTTTATATAGCGTATCCAGTGTCATGTTTGATAGATTCAAAGATCATCCAGGACGACATAATCCGTTCCGTCCCAGGCGTCGAAAGCTCGAATCAGATCTACAGAATTCTGTCAGCAAACCCTTCTTAAACGAAGCAAAGGTAGTTAAAGCAT